AAAAGTGCCCAATGATACATGGCATATCATTAGGCATGTGTCATTGATATGTTAAACTGCAGTTACACGCTTCTGTAACAATCTATCGGTATCTACCACTTGTTTATTACAATAGCTTATCCAGCAAATTATTGTATAATTAATACTTCTGTACTTACTACTTAATACTTTATTCAAATATAAGCATTAGAAAATTTGGAAATGTCCAATATGCTTAAAAAAACAAAAAACAAATTGACGATAACATTGTACTAACTGGTGTACATTGGTTTCTAAGCACAGAATACCAACTACAAAAATTTAGACTACACCACTGGTATGGGCTGCAAACGATATTCATGAGGGAGTTTCCTAAATGTCTCAAAACATTGGAGAGGGTTCTTAATTTTCCTGTGCAAGATGCAGGACCCTGCTTCTGAGGTGCAGCCATGTCAAACCCTTCTCAGTTTTGCTTTCACAAGTTCAAAAGTGGAAGAAAACGAAGATAAGGTGGAAAAAAAAAATTGGCATCCTAAGAAACTAAATGTGACAAAATTACCAATAGATTGAAACACGATTGAAACAATTAAGATGCTTTGTGACTCAGTTGAGCACGGTGGCGCAACTGGTAGAGCTGCTGCCTCTCAGCGAGCAGGTCCCTGGTTCAAACCCCGGTCCAGGGGCCTTCTGGGTGGAGTTTGCATGTTCTCTCCGTGCATGCGTGGGTTTTCTCCGGGTACTCCGGTTTCCTCCCACAGACCAAAAACATGCATGTTAGGCTGATTGGTAACTCTAAATTGTCCCTAGGTGTGAGTGAGAGAGTGAATGGTTGTTTGTCTCGTTTGTCTCTATGTGTCCCTGTGATGGACTTGCGACCTGTCCAGGGTGTACCCCGCCCCTCGCACAGTGATTGCTGGACATGGGCACCGGCAACCCCCGTGACCCAAAATGGAATAAGCGGGTAAAGATAATGGATGGATGGATGTGACTCAGTTGTGGTAAATAAATTTGCCCGTCATTTGCAGGAATGCTGTGCCAATTTTGCACTTTTTTCTTTTATGTATGTGTGCAAATGTGTCAAAACTACCAATTCACTTTGATTTCAAATTAAGATTTTCCAATTTTCTTTCAATTACTGTATGTTTCCAACAGTCGCAGCCCAGTCAGACACCCTTAGTCATTGTGCCTACTTGGCAGAAAAGGACAACTTTATGCTTAAACTGAATCTCCGACTAGTTATAACAATAAACCTTATTTGATAAACAATTACTTCAACTATATAAACAAGATGGTAAAAATACTGTAGGCTATTTAGTATTAAACTTTTTTTTTAAATGATTGACACATGCCCTGTGATGGACTTGCGACCCGTCCAGGGTGTACCCCGCCCCTCGCACAGTGATTGCTGGACATGGGCACCAGCGACCCCCGTGACCCAAAATGGAATAAGCGGGTAAAGAAAATGGATGGATGGATGGATGGATGAGGCTTCTCTATGATCAGCAGGTAAGTTTTAAGGAAAAAATGGGCACAATGTGTAGCGTTTGGAGCATAGGTTGTGATTCAAGTTTCAACCATGAGCTCGCCAAATTTGAGCTTAAAAACTATAAAACTGACTGTTATAGCCGCTTTTGTGTGTTTTATATAGGATCACGTGGCTGTGGTGGTTGTCTTTAAATAGACTGGCAACAAAAAATATTCAGTCATAGATACATACCTGTTGATTACTTTCTACAAGTTTGATTAAAATCCACCAATTTGTTCATGAAATATTTTGCTAACAGGCAGAATTGACCCTGACAGTTAGAGGTCAGGTATTAAAAAGAGAGTCCACTCCATCTATGAGTTTTTGAGCAATTAGCTGGAGACCACTCTCAGCTACTACCACTCCAAATTTTAGCTCAATATCTGCAAAAATGAACGAGTTATAATCAATGGTGTGGTTTGAAAGGTCAGTTGGTTTCGGTGGCCATCTTGGATCAGATGGACTTCAAAGATTAAACACATATACAGGAGTCCCTTGATACTTCGCAGTTCGACGTTTGTGGACTCACTGTTTCACTTGTTTTCAATGTAAGATTGTACATGACACACGACTGGCTGATTGATGGAAGGCGACCAACCAGAGTATTGTGCTCTGTATCCCGGGCGCTGATTGGCTCAGTAACCATAGCATCCATCTGTCTGCTCTCTTTCACTGTGCTCTTTTGAGAAATTTTCACAAGAGACTGAATTTGACAGACATTTACACCTCTAGATGCAGGAAGAGAGCAAACTGCATCATGAAGGACCCCACTCACCCAGCACACACACTTTTTGCCCCGCTCCCCTCAGGAAGGAGGTTGAGGAGCATTAAGTGTAGAACCACTAGACTGAGGAACAGCTTCTACCCTGAGGCTGTTAGACTCTTGAATCTCTAACCAGGATAATCACTGTGAAAAATCACATCATGTTGCTGCTGATCTGTTTCATGTTGATGTGTTCATACGTGCTCATCTGCTCACACAGACTCGTTCGTGCTATTGTTCGGCGTATTGTTTTTATGCTACTAGTGCTAAGTGTAAATTTAGTTGATGTTTTTCTTAGTTTATATCTTAGATCTTATTACTGTTTTTATTTTACATTTTATTGTTGGATGTAACTGGGACCCTGTGTACATAATTTCGTTCCACCACATGTACCACATGTAGTGGAAAGACAATAAAGACTATCTGAATCTGAATTTATTCTAAGCCCTACGATGCTACGTAAATGTTTTGCACATTCTAAGGTTTCAGACAACGAAACCAAGGAGTCAACTTTAATATTACTCACTTAATTGGGATGATACGGGATAAAAAGTTAACGGAAAAAAAAATTTGGACAAGTAATATAACAATATACAATATTTTGGATGGCCACCAACTACGATAGAGCAATTCCGCGAAAGTCAAACCGCAAAGTAGCTAGAGACTACTACACCCACGGGATTGGGACGTATGGGATAAAAAGTTAACAACAACAAAAAAAAAAAAACTTCAGACAGGTGCCACCATTTTGGAGTTTTCTTTCAATAAGCTTACACTGTAACGCAAGTCAAAAGAACTACACGCTAGAAGTCAACAGTGCTTCCGACCACTGCTTTCTGCCAAAATTCCAAGAAGAGCAATGGAGGGAGCAAACACCAATGGAGAAACCGAGGTGGTAAAAATAGTTATGCAACGCAAAGTCAGAAGTAACGATCTATCTATTAAGCTCACAGAACTGGCAGGAAAGTCGCAAATAATCCTGAAGCTGAACTCATCCTTCAAGTTCTAGTATTTTCACTGGTGAGCACCCTTATAAAAATGTTGCAGTGCTATACAGTACATATACATATGTTGATAAAAATACATAGGTTTAAGAGTTTAGGGAGAACATTAACAGAAAAAGTTAAACCGTGTCATCTGGACCAGTTTCTTTAAGTTAGAAACATTTCTTCCCCCATCCAGAGGACTTCCTCAGTCTACGACCTGACAACCAGATCTACCATATCATTCCAGATCTAGTTTAGAACATTGTTAAGATCATTGCAAGAGAAGTGTTTGTAACATTTGATTGTTATACATGATGACTGATTCTAAAAAAGTTAAATCTGGTCCTCTGGACATTCAAATCTGGTCCAGAGGACCAGATTTAACTTTTTTAGATTTTTCTACCTGGATTATTGAGCATGCATCAGGATATGATGATTGCTTGTTTTGGACGGGCGTGCTCTGTTTGCATGTGTTAAAAGCCTACTTCTGAGATTCCAACAGGAGGTTGGCTTGAAACACAGCAGTGAAGGCTAGCTATGGGACAGATCTGGTTGGCAGGCCGTAGACTGACGAAGTCCTCTGGATGGGGGATGAAACGTTTCTCGTTCAAAGAAACTGGTCCAGGTGACATGATTAAACCTTTTTTTTATCTACCTGGATGATTGAGCTTACAAATCCACTGCAAGAGAAGGGTTTATAAAGCCTTAATATATATAAATACTAAAATAAACAAAACGTTCCTACTTTGCGAATTTTTCACCTATCCGCGATAATCGAGGGACTACTGTAGTATATCCAATAAAGCCTTTCTGTAAGGTTGATTAAATTCCACCCAGTGCTTCCTGAGATACTTTGCTAACACATGCGCAAAAGCAGTGTTGCTTAACAACGGATTGCAAAGAATCAGAGAACATATCACTCCTCACAGATGAGCGCTTTCATATCGCCTGCACGCGCAGCTGTCTCCCCTCTTTCATTTGCATCAGGTATTGATTTTCATACGCAGGCTGTGGGTGAGAAACACGCCGCATATGGCAAACAGTGCAGTTTGGAGGAGAAGAAGAAAAAAAAAGGAAAAGCACGCACGCTGACAGTGAGGGCAGGGAGTTGGAGACTTGTTATGAAAAGATGCGTCGGTGGAGAACAGTGGGATGCCAATTAGGGCTGCTCGGCCACGATGGAGAGACCCGCGCGGTCACGCACCGGTCTCTCCATCTCACCCCTCCTCCTCCAAGTGGAGAAAACTGGAGCTGTTACACGCACAACACCGGTGTCACGTTTCCATGCACTGATTTCCTTCTTCATATTACGACATAAATCAATAACGTGGAAAGCAGCCATGCACGGTTCTTATGTGGTGAAGCAAAACGTACACTTTTTAATTTTTTTATATATATATATTTTAATGAGATGGAAGCATCTCCAGCAGATGAGGTGCTGCTTGCAGCCCACGCGTGAAAATGAGTGCACACTTTGCAATGAACAGCAAAGGAGGAGGCAGACGCGTCTCCAAATCTGTCCATGTGCGTGCGTAAAACATAACGGACTGCTTCCCATCCTCCTGCTCCATCCTTAAATGGCCAGGGTATTTAATTTGGTTTGTATACATCAGTAACATGTGGGATGCATATTTATATGAGATCTGGAGCGTCTCGTGCGGCAGCTGCCTGTGTCCTCATCCCTTGGAGAAAAGAAGCGAGATGATGGCTCCATCTGTTCCGGGGGGAGGAAAGTTAAGGCACATACCTGCTGCCAGTTCTCCTCCAGCGACGGCATGGCGGAGAAGTAGCCGGTGTCGTGGACGAGCTGAAGTTCCTGGAAGATACTATGGTTCGCCAAGACATCCATGCTTTTAGACGCGCTGGAAAAACAAGTGATCCACGAGAAAACGTGCCTCCTCTTCCTCCTTTTTCCCCCCTCTTTTTTATTTAATTCTTTCAGTGTCACACCTCTATGTCCACTCCTTTCATATTAGTCCTTAGCAGGTGATTAATAGCGCGGCGCGGAGGCAGAAAATGAGCCAATTAGGGTCCGTGTACCTGCGCGCATAGTCCGTGCGTAAAGCGAGAGCGGAGGAGACGGAAGCTCCATGCGCGTCTGTGTTGCCAAAATAACCCCTGATAGGGAGCCGGAGGAGAGGGCGGGGCGTTGGAAAACGAAGGGGCGTGGTTGAGTTTGTCAATCAGCCGCCCCTCGTTTCTCCTTATATGGCGAGTAGGCGGTAACTAGAGGTGGAGCACGGAGAGGCGGGCTTTAGGTGGATTCGGTGACGCTGATTGGCTGTTGCGCCGCGTCGCTCAAATCGAAAATTGGTTCAATAGGTGAGCTATTTATGGATGGGTTTATTTAGGTTTGGAAGAAAGAGTCAGGGGCCAGTCCAGGTGGAAAAGTCGTGGGGTAAACATGATGTGCATCTGAAAAACAAAACAGCAGTATTGTTCTGCGGGCAAAACGCAATGTATTGTGGGGAAATTGTGCAAGATGAGGTAAACCCAGATGGTTTAAATGTACAAAAATATGCTTTTGAAGTGGGTAAACTGTGAATAAGCTTATTTTGATTAAGAGTGCTGACTTTCATACCCGAGTTTTGAACACACACACACAAAAATAATATGCAGAGAAATGATGGAGTTATTTTGGTCGAACTTTGAAAACACCATTATGTGCGATCTCACTAAATTTCACAAGAACTTGCATTTGTTTACTTGTTTACTAGTTTCTACCGTAGTAGAGACTATTCTTCGTGGGGTCCACGCCAAAAACATTGCAATTATAATCATGCTTTTACAAACATACAAAAAGACAATAAAATACCTATGATAAAAACAAAATCACAATATAAAAATTCAAATCAACAACCTCAATAACCACATTTTACAACCATTACAAAATGACAAAATACTTTAAAATGCACAGGAATTAAAACCACAGAAATTCACCCATTCCAGAGTTAACAAACAATCTTCATTTCCATTATAAATTTATCATTTCATTTCATCCTTGCATGATCTGTTAGTGCTCAGAGTTGTTAATGACTCGAGATGACAGATTTTGGCTCCATATGTTGTCAAATGACTGAGTTATAGCAATTTTTGAGTTTTTTAAAGGGATCTCCGAATAGATGGAACAATAGACCTTATTTGATAAATTACTTCAGCTATAAAATCTAGTCTGTAAAAATACTGTAAGCTGCTTAGTTTTTATAATATAAAAATAATAATAAAGGCACACGGATGTCACCATTTTATTTACACTGCCATATATTCTGGCTAAATGATGTTGACTGGTAACTTTGATGTGAGCTCCATTCAGTTTGATGT